GGTGCTTTGTCATTTATCTGCTCTCTCTCACTTTCTCGTTCTAGTTGGTTGATAGCCATTCTGGCCCAGACCAACCCTCTGTTTGGTCCTCAGCTCAAGAATGAAACTATATGGTACCTGCGCTACTTCTGGGAGTAAACGGGGTAAGTTTGGCTGAGCAGGACCTCAGAGGCGATGTTGAGGTTTAAATTTATCATCTTAAATGTTTATATGCTGATTATATTGCTTTATAAGAAAGGCCTAACTCTGAGTACACTCTGTGCCAAAAGTGCTGACAGGAAATTACATGCTTTTGCAGCTAGAAAGTGAAACAAACTAGGCTGTTTGATCGAAACTTAAAGTGTGGTGTGACGTAGAGAACAAGTATATAAATACTTGAGCTTCCGTTTGTGCTTCAGACCTTGGGTTGTGTGTTTTGTGTTCAGGTCTCCATATCCCAGATATGTAAAATAAAGATCATTTTTAAAGTAAAAGGACTACTTCTGAGCTGTGTCTTTTTGGCCGTAAAGAATACAAAAGAACCGGGATTTAATACTTGGTGCCAGTGACCCGGATTCTTGTGCGGCTGAGGGGACTAATTTGGACCTTAAGGTACGATCTGATATGAGGTGGACAACAGACCGGTCTAAAAGAGTATAGGTAAGCGCAAGCCTGTTGAAAATTGTGCACATTGGATGAATTCTAAATTAGTTGTCCACCGAATTGATGATTGTTACCGTTAAATGGCTCAGTAGTGGAAATTAAACTTAATTATAAAATCTGTTAAGTAGATTTCAGGAGACATGTCCATGATATGATGACAGACTCTAAGCAAAGAGGGTAACTGGCTCACTGAATGTCAGTCCAACACAAGAAATTGGCATTAGCACCATTTTCCTGTCTCCACTATAAACAGCTACAAATAACTACTTAAAAAAATACATTTATTTAGTTATTTATAATGAGATTACCTGTACATAACACAGAACGTCTTGTTAGAATATCTGACCATTTACCATTATAACAGTAATCTCTGCCAGACAGAAGTTCAGTCTAAAGACTACTTAAGGTGGCTTTTTTAAGAGGCTGCCCCACAGCCTAGTATAAGATATATAAGGATTATTTTGAGCATAATCATGCAAAGCTAGTCTAGATGA